CAATCCTCCTGTCTCAGCCTCCTCCCTAGTGCTGGGACTGCAGGCAAGCTCGACCACGCCCACACAGAACCCATTTTTTAAAGGATGATATCTTTATGATTGGCCGAGGCACATCTTGCCCTGCAGTATGCAAATGAGAAAGGTGCTGACCATTTAGGTCAGAAGTGGGAGGGCAGAGGGAACATCCGGGATCTCTGTATCCTTGGAAACCACACCTAGGTAGGTAGCAGTCAAGCCTCCCAGTGCCTTCAGAATCTTTGCTGAGTGGCCTCTCCAGGTTGTGAATTTTCCCTGCTTAGGTGTCCATCAAGGGAAGAAGACTGGAGGAAAAGCTGCTGGAACGTGAACCACTGACATTATCAGATGATTCTTCGTATGTGCCCCTTTCGTAACCTTGAACTGCTAAAACCACCCTGTTTGCTTGTTTGTTTGTTTCACCCTATCCCTATCTTAGTGAATTCAAGTACACGGGTTACTGATTCGACACTCGGGATGACGCTCGCGGCTCCTCTTTCTTTCCTGGGCCCACCCTCTCCCTCATGCTCTGAGGAGCCCTTTCTTGAGAGCCAGCTCCGGCTTGTACACATCACCAGCGATATGGAATCTGCCCCGGAGAAGCCCCCCCGCTCCAGTGCACTGGTTACCGTCTACCTCTCAGCAAGACCACTCGATCAGGGCTCCGTCCCAGCTGGCCTTCACACTTGACTGCATCCTATACCGAGCCCTTTGAAAACTCAATCTGATCAAGACTGTGCTCAGAGGATGCTGCCCAATACATCTATTCAACGATGTTAAGTTGTCAATATTCAATGAATGCTCATCTACAAAGATGGCAATTTCACATAATAAAAAGTGGTTCCTTCTTTTTTCAATTTGTTGGTTACCATATCATGAAAAACATTGAGAAGGAGCTTTCCTGATCGGGGATGTGTGTTGGGTATGCTTATTTTAAAATACACACTATGAGATGTCCCGAGTAAAAAGCCATCAGACCCAGTCTCCAACAGGCAACAACCTAAATTCAACTGCTTCTCCCACGTGCAATTCACAGCAGCATAACTTCTCCCACATGCATCCAAAATGTCCTACATTTCCTGCGTCTTCCTATGTTTATTGTGCAAATCAAAAGGAGTAAAGTGAGTAATTAGCTTTGCTATTGGTACCAGGCATGACAAGTCCTTGCTTTCTCCAAGAAACATGCATGTACAGCCCAATGGGATGTAACTCTCCTCTGCTGTTCTTCTAGAATTTCCTCTGTGCCTCTAATAAAGCTTGTGTTGGGGTCTGCCTTGAGTTAGAATTATTTATGCATGTATCTGTTTTCTGCCCTAGATTATGGGCCCCTTCTGAGCAGGGGTCATATTTTATTCATCATGTCTCACCCACATTGGGCAGGGGCCTTGACTGTGAGAGCAATTTGCCAAGCACAGAGCTCTATCGGCGTGATAATTCACGCGAAGCATATTCTGAATTATATTGCATTCTTTGCCAGTGATGGCCATTAACACCCCCTTCCCAGAATAACATTTATAAAGTTAGAAGTTAGGAAATATTCCTTCTGATGCAAAGGCAAGAAATGTGGGGCTCAGATGTATCTTGTTGTCCTCCCTGGGACAAGTCCACTTTCTAAAAGATGGGATTGCTTTTATGCCTTAGTCACAGGGTAAGCAAATACGAGTCACCTTTCCTAATGAGACATTTCCTTTTCATGGTTTCTTGGACCCAGGCATGATACATAAAGCTTCCCATTATTTAAGTAAGTGGGGCAGTGAAAAGTAGGGAAGTGTTCAAGAAAATATATGGTCTGTGACCTCATTTGCAGTGCTATCGAGAAGGGCCAACCTCAGAAGCCTATTTCTGTGAATGAGCTCAGCCTTCATTCAGCTCGAGACTCTTCACACCTAAGGACTATTAAACCCAGGGAAGTGAAGACACACACTCAAGGGTCATGAGTGAGAGGAAATGCCTCTGTTCCGAAATGGAATTTAGGTCAGCCGGTGGGTCCGGAGAGCAAGGGGTCAGCTTGAGACGGCTGGAGTCCTCCAGCGGGAGGCATCACACCTTTCTAATCCCGGGGGTTATCTACTCTTACTGTCAAAAAGCTGAGAGAAAGAGGAGCCAGGGGACAAAGCAGTATCTCTAAATGCTGCTCCATCAAATGCTGCCTCTGACGATTTCCAGGCAGCCAGGGAGGCCTAAGGCCAGAAAGACTACAGCAGGGAAGGTCACACCGCAGCTTGGCTTTCAAGAGCACCACCTACTCCTCCCCTCGGTCTTCGGAGGATGATCCTCATCGGCCTGTGGAGACAGCAGCCCGTAGGACCGACTGTGAGACACCAGCCAAACTCGACTGTACCTGCTGCAGGGCCGGAGCTGTCACAGATGTGAAAACACTCATGTCGTCTCCTTCCTCTTCCTCATAGGGCCTTCCTCCTAGCTCACCCTGTAAGTTACTGGATTTGAGCCCCAGCTGTCAAAAAGTGGCTTCCGTATCACGATGGCTACTCCAGTCTCCACCATGGTGTCTGCATGCTCATGGGTGAGAGTAGGTAAGAGGAAGAGGAATGTGTCTTCATCTCCTCTACAGGTGCAGTCTCGAAGATCCCACATTACTTATACCCACCCTACATTGGCCAGAACTTAGGCAATGGCCACATCTACTTTTGAAGGTTGCCATACATCTTGCTAAACCTTCTGTACCATAGGGAAAGGGGACAGTGGAAATTGCAAGGAATCCCGGGTAGCCTTCTGCCAGACCAATGACATAGAGTTGTACAGATTAAGTTACACATGTACAGCACTTGAGACAGTGCCTAAAGCTTACACAGAAACTGTATGATGATAGCTAGCTATTCAAACAATAATAACAATAATAGCAGCCGTATCTTCTCCTTGGTTTTGGACTAAATGTTTGTGGGTAGTGAAACTCATGAGCAATATTTAGGCCACTTAATTTAAAAGTAACAAATTATTAATAAGAAATACATGTCAATTTTTTAAAAGTAAAATAAATGAGCATAAAAACAATTGTCTATCCAACCTTCAATTATTAAAAGCTATATAATTATAATAGAACCCATTTTGAGCAATATAAATTTTCTATGCTATTTTTAGAAAATCTATACGTAAACATCAAAGCACTAACAAGGGAAATTAGAAACTGTGGAATTCAGACAGAAATCAATGTTTGCTTTGGCATATGATCCCTCTTGTTTGAGAAGAACTGAAGTTCTTAACAAAGAGTTGGTAATTATAGAGATAGTTTCTCTACAGAAGATCAAAGGCTTTGATGTGTTTGCTTAGCACCTGTTTTATCCCAGAGTACATCGCTGGAGTTCACTCACACCTGAGGTTACTTCTGCGGGAATGAGAGGACCCTCCTAGTCTAAATGTGGAAGGGAAATAAAATGATGCAGGTAGGCCTGTTACCCCAAGGGACAAAAATGTGGCCACAATGAAGACATACACTGGAGAGGTTTTTCTAAGAACTCTGCAGAGGTATGACGTGCTGGGCCACCGCTCTTGCTCCGTACTCATGAGGCCCTAGGTTCTGTCCCCAACACCACCATTGCCATGAAACAAATCAAGAACAGCAAACAACCCACTCTATAGGTGCCGGAAGTCATCACTAAAACTTTCAGACGGTACAGAGAGCTGATTTTTCTACTCAGTGGATAAATTTATACTTTTCATATTCTTTTCTCTACCATGGAAATCTATCAGATTCCTGGAGATAGCTAAAAGAGATTATTGGCTTGGGAGCTGAACTGTTTGGGTTTAATCCTAATATTTATTACTTACTGGCCGCATGACCCTGGTGAAATTACCTAACCTTAGTGTGTATTAGATTTGGCACCTAAAAACAGGAATGATAACAGTACGTGTTGCACAGAGCAATTAGGATGATTAATTGAAATAATATGCCTAAGGTTTTTAGAGCAGAGGTATTCAGGAAGTTTTGGCTATTTAATTATTAATATTGCCCAAGACTTTTTGAAGGTTTTACAGCATTATGAATGTTAACTCAACTCTTATAAAGCCCTACTAATCAGAAAACTTTTATGTACTGTATCTTTTGGTTTTCACTGTCGTTCTCAACTATTGTCAGTATCCCTGTTTTAAATCCATGAAAACTGAGGCACTCTTGCATGCAGCTGACATCTTGGACTTGGGGGCCAGGAATGGGGCTGTAACCTGCACTCTGTAACTCAGAGTCATCCTGCTCTCCTCAGAGGGCGCCTGGCGGTGGGGGCTCAGGATCCCTCGGAAACGAGGTGGAGGCGCACCTTCCTGCTCTTTACAGCCACTGCATGAATCTGGTCTCTGTTGTTGAAAATGTATGTTTCTCTTGATTTTTTTAAAATTGGAAATATGGCTTCTTCAAACATGTAGGAATGAGTAGACAACTGGCAAAGAAAAAGAAAAATCTCACTGACGTGCTGCTCTGGAGAAACCATGGGGAGTCAGGAGGAGATAGAGCATCATAAATATTTCTGAATAAACAAAACACAAAGGATTTTTCCTTTTCAAACATTCCGTTCCACAGCACTGGCAGCTTCTCTTGGTCACAGTACACATTCTGTGTTATATAAGGCGGACCTGCCTTAAAAATGCATGATCCAACCTTTATTTAGAATTAATTTTTGATCCCATGACCTTTTATGAATTCTTAGCTTCAAAATGTCAAAAGACTTTAAGAGTTTAGTCAAAATGACGTCATCCTTCCTCATCAACCACTTGCATACAGTGCCTTTTCATAGTGGCCCTGATGGTAATGCCTGTTTTCACTCTTGTTAACTCCCTTAGATTTCTTACGAACCCTAAGTTGAGGAGCCTCAAACATGATTAAATGCACCAGTATCCTATCTAAACAAATACTGTATTGTGACACCTGAACCATCAGTTGTACGATTTCAGAATTGATCTCAGACAAAGTATTTGAGCCAATAAGAAAACAGTCCAGTTATTTTATCCTTTTTTTTTTTTTCCTGCAGATACTTGTTGCTTCTGCCCAGTTTTGTTCCAGGCTCTTCGCCATGAAGCCTGCACCAACAAAGGAACCCATGGAAGGGACTGCTGCTGTCATTCCTATTCTGTGACAGGCAAGAGTCAAAGGCAATAATTAGGCCACTCCTCAAAACTTAGAGTGACTCAGGCACGTGTGCCCCGGCTCCCTAACAGACTGACTTTAGCTGATGACATGTGAGTACACTTCTGAGCACCATGAAAGGAAATCATTGAACTGGGTTGGCAGAAGAGAGCAATCATTATCAGGCTTACCCGAATTTAGAAAACGTAGGGTGCTGGAAAATAAAATAACAGCAGTCTGAGTCAGTACTTTGCAGCTGAACCATCACAGTCGAGTTGTAAACAAATTATATCTATGCTAAGGAGTAGTTATTAAGGGCTTACCAGCTACCTACTATATCTGGCACTCTGGCCGCCACTTGATACTCTAACCTCACTTAACCCTTGGGCAGTGACGGAAGAGTCATTGTCACATTTCATAGAAAAAAGGAATCGTTACTTGAGTCCAGGCCTAGTTTCAAGTACTTCTTCTTCTCTTTTTACAGGGTCATTTTAAATACTGATTAGACCCACACTTTTTTCTTTCTTACTGCAATGGACTAAGCCTTCAGGCCCACGGATTCAAATGCTGAACCTAATGTGATATTTGCCAGCAAGGCCTAAAAGACATAATTTTCACAGAGGCCCTGAGAGTAGGATCACTGCCTCTACAAGAAGAGACACCAGAGAGTGGGCTCTCTCCTCTCTCTACCCTGTGGAGACACCACAGAAAAGGTGGCCATGTGCAAGCCAGGAAAGGGACTTCACCATAACCCGACCTTACTGGCACCCTGGTCACAGATTTCTACCTGCTAGAACGTGAGAAAACAAATTTCTGTTGTGTAAGTCTCTCAATTTGTAGCATGCAGTTATAGCAGCCTAAGTGGATTAAGGCACCTTTTGTGCCTTCTTTGAATTGAAGTAAGTAGTATTTTAAAACAATTACACTTCTCCCTTCCTATGAGTTGATCGCTCCTGGATTTTTGCCATGAGGCTGTGGCAGGGTTCCTGGTGGGAAAGCCAATGTGCGTGTCAGCCGTTGTGTGAATGTAGTTCTGGTTACCACCTCACTGTCACCCTAGGCCAAGCTCAGCCTCCTGCAATTTATTCGGGATTCCCTTTCCAGTGTCACTGCTAGAACTCAACTGTACCTCTGGACGCTTTTACTGATCCAAATCTTGGGGAGAGGGTAGTTTGCCTTACCACCTCAATTCCTTTTAGGTCCAAAAAAGTCACTCATTTTCAGGTATCCAGCTTTTGACAGGAGCGATGCCAATGCAGGGTGGCATGGCAGAGGGGAAATAGTCCATGGCAAAGCAAGCGAGAGATAGCAAAGCAGCATCTACAGAAAGGCTGTCCCCCCTTTATATCTTTCAAGGCTATAAGCCTATTGACTGGTGCCCCCACACCAAGAGTGGGGCTTCCATTATCCATAACCAGAACTATGCTAAACCCATTTAGTTATCACGCACCCTAGATCCAGCCATCTCCCACAAAAGCCCCTCCTACAAGCTCATGAGACTCTGGGGGAACATCTAGATACAATAACACTCACTAAGTCGCTCATTCCAGAGAATGGGGGCACATACAGTCACGGGTCCTAATGCTTGCAAAATCTTGACAAGCACGTATGGTCAAGGCCCATAGTTAAGCAACAGAGTATGTTCCTTAATGAAGGCCACTTTCATGTTACCAATGATTCCCAACCATTATTTTCCTCGATGTTGTCTTTGCTTCTTAGCCTTTTTAGCTTATGACACGAATCTGCCAGGATTTGGTGGTGCTTTGTGAATGTTCCCCTTTGGAGGTTTTATTGCGGTTATTTCTACAGATACTCCTTCTGGTTCATTCTCCCTCTTCTGTCTTTTGGAAAATTCAGCTACACATATGCTAAATTACCTCGCTGAGTTTGTCACCATTTTTACATTATCCTTTGTTTTGGGGGACTTGTAATTTCCACATGAACTCTGTTAGTAAAAATAGAGCTGTAACGAGCACACTTGGTTGAACTGAGATGTAGCTACTTTTTAGGAATAGCTAATGATATTCAGTGGTGACAGGGAGAGAAATTAGATGAATCTCAAACAAAAAAAGAAAGGCCCTGCACCAGGAAAAATAAAAAGGTAAAAACAAGGTGAATGTGTGGAGAACATTGCACAGATCCTGCGTTATGAAAAACATTACCAATTCTCCTATTTTCAATCCATCATCCTTAGTGGAGAAAATTCTTTTCAGATGTTCCAGTGTAGCATGCTATCCTAGATAGCTTTTATCACTACCTAAATAGAGGAATAAAGCAATAATGCGAGCATAGAACTGGCATTTTCGCACCCACATTACCAGTCCCCGATAGTGTAGGACAGGAGAAGTTTCATAGAATTTCCCCATTCACAGCTACTCTAGAACACTCACCCTAAGAACGTGATGAGGCTGCACATTCTTGGCCTCTACACTGTTTTACTCACATGGGGATCACAGACACTAAGGAAGTGGGGTGAGAGCACTGTAAACCAGATGCTGTCATTTGGATCTTGAATGTCCTCCAAATGCCTAAGTGTTAAGGGCTTGGTCACCAGCTTGTGGTGCTGTTGGCAGGAGGTGGAACCTTTAAGAGGTGTGGCCTAGTGAGAGGAAGTTAGCTCCTTGGAGACATCCCTGGAAGGGGATACTTGGACACCAATGCTGTCCTGGTTCTCTGTTTTTCAGCTACCACAAGTTGAGTAAGTTTGCTCTACCACTCACTCTCTGGCAGGATCTTCTGTCTCACCACACACCCAAAGGCCAAACGGTCATGGATTGAAACTTCTGAAACCGTGAGTCAAAGGAAACTTTTCTTCCTTGTAAGTTGTTAATCTGAACTGTTTGTCGTGGAGATGGAAAGCGAATAGGCAGCTATTGATAACTCCCAAACCCTCTTCTGCTTATTTAAAGATAGTGAGGGGAGCCTGTGTCTGTAGGAGATAGGTATGGAAGAAAAGTAAATTGTTTCCCCTTGCCTAAAATGAAAACAAAGGTGTTCTGCTCACCTGAAAAATAAGGCTTTCTTAGCACAAAGAAGATATTCAAATTCAGTCCTTTAAGACAAATAAATGAGTGACAAACAAAGTGACTCCTAAAATGTGGTAGAATGAAGAGCTAGTGCAGTACATTTCAGATTCTGACCCAGGTACATCACTTAGTGGGGTTGTGACCTTTGGCGCAATATTTGAACTCATGAAGCCTGAATTTTACAATCTCAAAACAAAGAGAAAGATGCTTTCAAACTCTGTCTCCATTCCTGTTTCCTTGAGAGGGTAAAATGAGATAAAGCCCATAAAGTACTTTTAAATCCTTGAGCATGAGCAACCTAAGAAATTATTTGGTATTGGTACCCAATAGGAGAAAAAATATAAGATTAATTCAAAACCATACTGTGCGGTTATGAAAAACTCTGTACTTTAAGACATTTAGTCATTTTTAAGGATCCCCATCGCCACAGGCATGAGCATTTAATGAGTCACTGAAAGGAAAGAAAAAATCCCCACAGCTTGGCCTAAGAAAAGCTGACAAAGCACCTGTCATGCCCTGTTCCCTTCTTCTGTTTTGCTCAGCTCCCTCCCAGCCTTACTGGCTGCACATTTCAAAGTTCCAGGCCACTGAAAAGATGTATCTTTATTAACGGAGGTGATGCCACCGCAGTGGAGGCCGTTACTGTGCTTGGCAAAAAAACTACCTTCAGGGGCAGAATCTGCAGTCAAATGTGCAGCAGACCCAGTAAGACAGGCCCGCTGAATCTGCGAGTACAGAATGGCTCTCCCTTAGGACTTTCATCACTTCTGCCGATACGCCTCACTGCATTTATCTTTGGGATAGAATCTATAAAATAGAAGAAAAATAGAAGATCGTCGCCACAAGAATAGAAAACATGGAGTCTACCATAAAAGAAATTTAATTTGTTTGCTATTCACATTATTGCTAATGCAGGCATGAAACAGAGACACAGATTTTCTTGCTTACTTAGCAATGTCCTATTTTCCTTAGCTATTCTTAAAGACTGAGTAAGAACATCTTTTTATGCCATTCTCCTTCCTGATTCTAAAATAAGTAGGCAAAGGTAATGTGATAAGGATAATATAAAAATAACTACCACTTACATTCTTATTCTTTGGGAGCATTGCGAGTACAGATCATAATTCTCACAGATAATGACACTAATTTTCAAAAAGGTTAAATAATTTGATCAGGTCTGCAACTAGTAAGTGAAAAGTGGCAAAAGGAAAAAAAAAAGTCACTCCATTTACTAAGAAAATTTGTCAACCAAGGAGAAATAAAAACCAGGGGATGTGAATACTGCATTAAAGAGCTTTCTGGATAACTGAAGAATAATTATAAAATTTTTGGTTGAAACTGTTGACAGTGAATGTCTGCTCATAATGTTTCCCTTTTGCCTTTATCGTACATGTAAGTGAATTTGGTCTTTTGGAAGAAAGACAGGCTGAGAGGGAACAGAAGAAAGGAAAAAGGTGGGAAAAAAGAATATACTGATCTTCCTCTATGATTTTAGAGTATCCAATCATTATTTTACACATAAATTCTAGTTCTGATTGAAAAAGATCCAGGACAACTGAGGTGATTCTATTTGTGCAACACTGTTTTATTAGTTGATCTCTTTCAGTTGTAAGAGAAAGAAAACCAGTTTTTTTTTAAAAAAGAATTAAATGTTATGTACATGTACCGACTACCCACAGTGAATATAATCATTATGTACTGCAGACATGTGCCAAAAAAGTACTTTTTAAAAAAAATGCCAGACTAAGTACTTACACAATAATAAAACAGAACAGGGTGGGAGGATTTGTGCAGCCTGTGTAATTGGGAAATCTCAAGGAATCGGCTAACTTTTCAGCTACAGCCAGTTGTAGAAGTTGAAATAATGATTTTCTTTCCTTTCGCCTTCTTATGTTTCTTCCCTCAGTGACATCTTGCTCCCCATTCAGACGACCGTCATTTCATGTACTGGAGAAGATGGCCTCCAACCTTATATCCCTTTGTAACCAACATTCCAGAAAAAAGGTCACGCGCCATCCCAATCTATTAGTCTGACAAATGGATGCCATCTTTACTTGGATTATAGGTCCACAACGGGACCAATATCTGTGTCCAGGAAGAGAGGATATGCTAATTAGCCAGGCCGGAGGACATCTTTACACTCTTGTCCAAAAGAAGAGATATAGAGCAGGGGGAAAAGCAGCAGATATCTACTAAAGTTGCCTACATAGTTTCAGTATTTTGCAAGAGTTCCTTGACATTTGCCCCTTTTCTTCTTGAAGAAGACCATGGAAAAATAAAAGCGTAATTTAAGAGCTTTTGCTGGTCTTGTTGGGAGTGACTAGATTTTCCCTTGTAGCCCCTGACAGCAAGACAATGGAATCTTGTTGCTTTTAACACTAGGACAGTGGTGACAGGGGGCATAGAGTGGTGAAAGAGCCCTTCTCTTACCTTGTCCCTGCTTCTCACTTGACTAAGACACTAGTCTGTTGGAACAAGCAACCATTTTCCTGTAGCTTGTAACCTTTGGGTGTCAGTAATTTTCTTATCTGCATGAAATGTGCAAAGAAAAGAACTGATCCTGGAAACAAATCAGTTACTGATACCCATGATAATTATATTCACCAGCCAAGCATGGTGGTGTACGCCTGTAATCCTAGCACTTAGGAGGTTGAGGCAGGAGGATTGCTGTTAGTGAGAGGCCAATCTGGACTACACAGTGAATTCAAGGTCAGTCTGAACTACAAAGGGAGACCTTGTCTCAAAAAATAAAACAAAAAAATTATACTCACCAAACAAAAAAATCTAAACAAAATATTGAACAGAAACAATTTTCAATGTTATTTTGGGTCAGAAAACTTTTGTTGAAATACAACATTGAAAACTTGGTACATTTCAATGGCTTATAGCTATGAGGTATTGGATGCCATGAATTATGTCCACTTCTCATAAACTAGGACCTGAGATTCTCAACAGAAAAACGTCCCTGGAAAGATGCTCCTTTGAGGTCTACTAGGATTGGCTGTTCTATTCAAAGACTCTTCTCTATATCAATTTGTCAGAAAGGTACTGATTATCTTTGGAAACAAAATTAGAAGTGGAGAAGTGTTATTAGTCATCTAGGAAGTTAAAGAGTGTTCTTGACTAGAGTATCTGATTGGCCGGATCACACAGTGGAAGGATCGTGAACCTCAAGTCAGGTAAGTCTTTCATTCATTATATGAGCATTCACTTGGCACCTACTGTGTATCTAGTACATTTTCTAGACACTCAGAATGTGTCCGTGAACAAAACAAAGATTCTCTCTCTATGTGACAGACAAGAAGCATTAACGTGATGAGTAAATCATATGGGATTTTAGAAATCAAATGCAAGTATTATGAAAACTGGATGTGTGAAACAAGGTGCAAGGGGTAGGAAGGGGTCTTGAGCAAGGGTAGGACGTGGGATTAACTTGGATGGTCCAAGAGTTCTTGTTGAGAAATAATATCTGAGAACCGACCTGGGGATGGCAAGGAGCCAGCAGGGGGCCCTCTGGAGAAGCGCATTCCAAGCAAGGAATGACTACAGCAGCTGCCAGAAGAGAGGGCATTCCTGGCATGTTCGAGGAGTTTCAGAGGCCAACACTGCAGGAGTTGAGTGCAGACAAGAGAAAGAGACAAAGTCAAAGGAAAGGTCACTGTGGGCCACTGAGAGGAACGCTGCAGTATTCACGTGCAAGAGTGGTGGTAAGGTCTCAGTATCATAAAGGTGGTAAAAAGTCACCTCCGTGTATATCTGGAAGAGACAGAAAGTAAGATTTCTTGGAAGATTGGGTCCGTGGTCTGTGACTGGGACCGCTGTTCATTAAGACTCCATGGATCTTGGCCTGAGGTGAGATAATATTTGCAAAGCATCTTGTACAAGATACATGGGGAGATCAAAATATTTGGTTGATGTTTAAACATTTTAAAAGGTTATTATAGTAAAAGGCACATGGCCATTAAGACCTCTCAAAATGCTCCCCCAACCCTGCTTCCAACACACGCTCTTGTCCTTGTCACTTTCTGAAGCAGTTCTGGGAGTCCACTTTTGTAAGTGTCTTTTGAGGGGTGACCAAAAAATAGTGAATGCTGCTGCTGTGCGCCGTCCAAAAGAAAAGCAGGTTCATGAAAACATTACGGTGTCTCCTCACCCATCTTACCCACCTGATCTGGCATCGCCGTGCCGCTTGTCGCTCTTTCCCAAAGTCAAAACGACCGTGAAAGTTAAATATTTTGAATCAATTCAGGGCATCAAGGCAGGAAAGGCAGAGAAACTAAAGACACACATAACACAGGATTTCCAGAGCCGCTTCAGAAATGGAAAGCAGGATGGGAGAAGTGTGTTCGAAGTGTGCAAGGGGTTGGTATTTTGAGGGAGATTTTTACTCTTTTACTGCAGTAACTTTTAAAAATGTAAACATTCACTGCATTTTTCAAATGTGACTCTTACATACCAAACACGTCCTCATTAGAAGTCATTTCACTCATTTTGACTCCCACTCCTCAAGCCAACTTCGGAATATGATTAAGTCTCCTATGATGTCGGCTTCAGAGAAGGGCTGCATAAGTCAGAAAACACAGAGTCCAGCGATCTAGTTCCCTCGGCGGTCACCATCCTCGCTGCAAATGTGCGATTACTCCCGCGTTTCTCAGCGCCCCGTCCTTAGCACAGCCCTCAGTCACCAGTCAGTTCTCCGCTGGCCTCCACCTGTCCTGTACCGTGTTCTCCCCAACTTGGCCACATCAGAAGCCCTTTGACCTGCAATCAGTCCTTCCTAGGCATAGCTTGACTTTCCAAAGCATTTTTCTTTAATGAAATCACAGTAAACATCTAAAATTAGGATTCACCTAGGCATTTTGGGAAGTTTACCCACTGTACCATTTTAATACAAATAAACTGGATTTAATGAAATGGATGTGTTCTTCAGTGTAAAGATCTGAATAAATTTTATTTGGTGAAGGACCTTCATTGTATCAAAAGAGGATATTTCAAATCATGATCCTCTTAAAAATCCCAGAAGATGATCTCCTATTAAGCATTTACCATGTAATAGGCACTGTGTTAACCATTGTACATTGTGCAACCTTATTTAATCTTCAAGACACTATTTTTTTTTATTGAAGCGTGTGAGCATTGGAGCAGGTCCTGACCCCAAGATGCTCACAGGATTCATAAATGACAAAGTCACTGGCAAAGCTGGGTTACTTTGCTACTTTAGACCAAGTTTTTATTGTTTATGTTTCTGCATTTAATTTTGTACTGAAGATAAGGCATTTGGGGGGTGGGGCTTTGTTTTGCTTTATCTATTATTCACTACCAACCAAATGATGGACCTTTTTTATCCTGTTTGTTATTTTTACTTTTTGTTTACTGATATTCTTTGACCTCAGCCAAACTTTGGAGCACTGGGGATAAGAAAGATGTTAGAAGTAGCTATGATTCCAGAATGTTATCTGCAGAGCACTGTGCTTACAGGTAACCATTTAAAAAAAATTTCATTGGCCAAATACAAAAATATTTTAATATTTTTAATATAGTAGATTGTTTAATATAGTAGATTCTGAAGTTACTTGACTACATAGCCCTATTACTAGAAAATGATAATTAACCCTTGAGGCTAGTTATTTTCTTTTCTTTTCTTTTCTGGAGACAGGGTCTCACTGGGTAGGTCATGCCATCCTTGAACTCATTATATAGCCCAGGCAGGCCTTGAACTAGTGGCAATCCTCTTGCCTCAGCCTCCCAAGTGCTGGGATTACAGGTGTGTGCTACCACACCAGACCCCTTGAGGCTAGTTCTAAGGAGAAAACTGTAAGAATGAGGCTAGGAATATTAGATATAGGCCATTTGCCAGTTTCCTCACAGTGGAGGAAAGAATGGTTTTCCCACAAAAATAGCAAAGAAAAATGAAGAATGTTCATGTTATTCAATGCAAGCTGCAGAAAATCTTAGCAACTCAAGGAAAAAGTGAGTCAAGACTGTTGGGATGATAGGTCAAACATGAAATTTAGGGTCCAAAGTGAAGAGCTGTCTGTGTAGAACACCCAGGGCAGCTTTGGGAATGGTCCTTGAGATCTCGTCACGTGGCCTGCTGGTTGAGCCTTAGCATTCGCCTCTTCTCTCCCCTCATCCATGTGGATTACGTTCCACATCCAGATAAATGAGAACCGAGAAATAAACTAACCCATGAAAAGGTAGTGAGCCTGGCCTCATTACCACGTCTTCAGGAAGAGACCAAAATGACAGTTTATGAAAACCAAGCTGCCCCGGTCTCACCAACCGCAGCTTCATGGCCGAAATCACAGTACCACGTGGCTCTTCTCTGCCTGTGTTTTAGTTACTCTCGCATGGCTGAGACGCAATACCTCCCACCCACACAGCAAAGGAGGAGAGGTTAATTCTCACTCACAGTCTATAGAGACTTCGGTCCACAGCGGGCTGGCTCCAAGACAGGACAGAACGCCAGAAGGGCATAGCACGGAAAGATTGCTGACCACACGGCAGACAGGAAGTGGAGAGAGAGAGAGAGAGAGAGAGAGAGGAGAGGAGGGAGCGGGGAGACCTACGCCTTCAGGGACGGACCTTCTCAGATCAGGCTTTGTTCTCTCTCGCATCTCATTTAGCTATAAACTCATGGGTGGACTAATCCATAGAAGAGTACCATGCCCGCATGCTCCTAAAGCCCCACCTAGCAGCACATGAGGCTTTGGGAGAACATCTAAATAGAAACCCTAACAGACTATGAGCCCAGCACCTAGATTTCTTCATATCCAAGGGCTGGCTGTGAACACTACCCAGTTACTGATAACAGAATCCCTACTTTGCCTCTGGGACTTATTTCCTAGTGTTGGAATTAAATGATTGGGTTAAACCAATGATAATATTAATTTAATGATCATATTATTTAATAATTTAATATGTAGGCAGGGTTTTTCTGCTTTAAAAGGAACCTTGCCATCATTTTAATTTTATTTAGTGTCCAATGTCTTTACACTTACACCTAATTATCAAAACTATGAAAATTGAATTTCCTTCAATAGTTAAACATTGATTAAAGTCCTAATTAAAATCTCTTAAATGATTTAAGCAATAATTATAAGTCTACCATGACTAATTCTTTTAAATATTCCTAAATTCCAAAAATAATAGACAAAATGTGCATAGACACAATGAGTATACCTAGTTCTACACTTATACCTATTTTGTCAAAATGAACATCCTGGATTTATTTTTGCAGCATTTTTTCATTATTTCATTTTTTC